TTCATCTTGATTATTATTAACTCAAGGAAAAAAACCATGCCCTTGAGTTGAAAAAAAAAAGGGCCGTTATTAATTTGTTTTCATGTGATTTACGGAAAGAAAATTGAACACAGTTCTGATTCATGTGCACAAATAAATATTTAACTAGTTAAACCACAAATTTATTGGACGAAAGAGTTTAATTTCTCACCGTCTTTGTTGATCCATTAGAAACTCTTCCATTCCAAGTAAAGCCAAATACACTTATGGGACCATTATTATTAAACAAATACTTTGTTACATACCTAGCTACGGAATTTTTTTGGTCAAATCACGTATGCATGTACTGCTTAACACTCAATAATGTTCCTATATACTATAGCTAGTTGATAGTAAACAATGATTCGTGTACAAGATATGTGGCGTGAGGAATCCGCTGCTGTAGTTTGACAATTTAGCAATAGTAGTATAATCTCACCAAGAGACTCTCTTAAAAGTGAGGGTTTTCATAGACTCTTTATCATCTACAGTTTAAAGTTAGAATAATATTTGGTTACTCAAATAATGAATAGGAGTTCCTACTCAAAACTCTTCATTTCTTATTCATAAACCTTTGTGTTTATTACTAGATCACCATTCATATTATAAAGATCATGCAAACAATCAATTAAAACTAAGGTTGTTTAGCCATTGAATTGTATTAGAACAAATGGACATAAATGGTAAAAGTATTACAAACCGTCTATCTATTTGCTACAGTTGATCGACTTAACGACCTTAATTTTAATTTTTTTTTTTATAGAGATGATCTTTACAAAGTAATGTATAATATAAACAGTTTCGATTATAAGCACAAAATTTTTTAAATCAGGCATGAAGAGTTTTTGGTAGGAGCTCTTACTCATCTTTGAGTAGCCAAGCAGTACTCTTAAAATTAATTCTCATGCCAACATTATTAAACATTATGCAAAAAATATAAGGTAAAAGTGAATCCATGGAGTCTCACTTCATTTCTCTCTCACTGGTATGTATGGGGACCAATTTGTTGAAAACGAAACCCTAATTCTCAATTATTGCAATTTGCAACACTTTGTGAGTGAAAACGATTGATAATGTAACCACCGGTTGCTGATAACCGTCCAGAAAGTGGAGTCTGATTTAGCTTTGTTTAATAGCTAGGTAAGCTCGAAGAAAGTCATCACAATGCATAAAGACTAAACTGTCTTATATTTAATTGGAGCAATAGCTAGCTAACTTGCTAGGCTTAATTTCCAATTTCATCTATAAGTATACTCACAACTTGCCATGGCGTGCGGCAACACGATTAAGTTGCGTGTTTTATTGATGACCAGTGACATATGGCGCAGTTGGAATTATTTGTGGCAAGAGTTTTGTCTTATCGCGAACGAGAACTCAGACGTAATGTTAAACAAAGACTGATTCTCCAAACGAGCTTAAACAGTTAAACAAGTAAGTCAATAATGTAAATCAGCCTTAATCGGCTGATAACGACTGAAAGCTTTGACACAATTTTATTTAAGGATAATGTTAGGATGATCAAAATTTTAAACCAAATTTACAAACTAAACCAATAAGAAATAACACGTTAATCAATACTTAAGTAATAATAAAATCATCAACCACCATATCATTTAGTTTACAATTTTGATTTAAAAATTTAATCGCTCTAACATTACCCTTTATTTAATGACTAAACGAGTGTAAACTGTTAAAGCATCTACAAGAGACTCTATAAGACCAGAAGCTAGTTTAAAGAGCCAAATTCATAAAAAGCATCTCCAATAGACTCTATAAAGGACTCTATATAATAGCAAAGTGAACAATTGTTCTTTGAGTTTATATTCACTGTTTAAATGTTAAATGTTAAAGATATAACAAAATCCCAGGATGGACCCGTGAGCCAAGGAGAAAAGAAAGAGTAAGAAGATGGTTTTAGAAAATGAGTATGTTGAGTTTTTTCTTTTGAAATGATTAATAATAAAATATTCAAAGCTTGTTAAAATAGAGAGTACTTTGGGAGATAAAAAAAATTAAAAGGACTAGCCAAGTAATTTTTCTATACTATTCACCCGCTAAACTAACAAAAATTTAACAAATTGTTGGAGATCGATGCTCTAAGAACTAAGTCAACGGCGTAACCCTAAACCTAATCAAACACTGAATATGAGTTTGCAGTTTGTTTATATGCAAGAGAGTCTGAGGGAAACAGTAAGATTCGTACGCATTTATTTAATTTAAAAAATTAATAAAAAATGCTTGAAAATTTTGAATTTTAATTAAAATGACAAAAAGGTGTTGTAAGTGAATAGTACTCTGAGTGATTTTTTAAAGTAAAAATATTCTTAACGTTAAAAGTGAATAGTACAATGAATGTTTCGTTAAGACTCCCATTAAAAAAATCTGCCAAATTTCTATCTAATTAAGCTTTGAAAATGTCGTAAGAGATCCTTAAATTATATTGGGAATCGAATCAAAGTGTATGACGAGGACAAATTGAGTGATTCATCACTTTGATTAACACATATTCTTATCGTTTGTTTTGAGTCTTAATTATAAGAAAAAGTGTAAAAAGGGTTTTCACATTTTTGTGTTTGGCTTCTATTTCTACAAGGATACAAGTGACGACTAAATTCATAAAATATAGCACCTTGATTAGGATCTCTTAATTTTTGAAGGCTAGCGTGGTGCATGACTTGTTTAGCATTTTGCTATCATGGAATCCCAGAGGAAAAGCAGAGGGGAATGGAAGGCGTGAAGGAGATGAGTGTTAGGTATTAATTATTAATCAAAGGAGAGAAAAATAATATAAGATAAGATAAGCAGCTCATGACCAATTTAGCATCTCTTCAGTCTACTAACTTCTCCAATACGAAAAGAGAAATGCTAAGGAGGCTCTCTAAAAGTAAGATTCTTCGCATATTTTTTGCTACCTCACAGTTTAACGTCAATTTCCGTACTAAGATTATAAAATATTGTGGAAAAAACATAACGTAGCAGAGAGTTCATGAAAAGTCTTACTTTTAAGAGTCTCCTTAGCATTTCTCTTACAAAAAAGTTATGACAATGATGGTGATGATGATAATATTGACATTTGTTCTTGCTAATGAATAAATTACCTGTTAAAACTATTGGCATTTGTTCTTGCTAATGAATAAATTATCTGTTTTTTCTTTTCTAAATGACAATTATTATTATAATTATTTACTCTCGGGGATGTTTTTGTTTTGATATTAGCTATGCTACTTGTATTTTACATAATCTTAATTTATTTTTTACACTTTGTTTTGTCTCATTGACATGAGGAGGTGAAGAACGCATGTGTTAGTATCATTGACATGAGGAGGTGAAGAGCGCATCTGTTCAACCTTTCGATTTTAGTTTTTTTAAAGCTGAGTTAGTTTTAATCCATTTATTTAAGTTTTCTGATTGTTTTAAATCACTTTTGACTATAGTTTTAAACTATATTTCAACATGACACCATTTTATTGGATTTGTAAACTTCATATGTGTGCCACGTCAACAAATTAACAGAATCTTAACGGAATGATCAAAATGATGTACGATAGTCAATTTTCAAGGACGATATTGATCAATTTTAAAATTGAGAGACCAAAATAGGAAATTAAATCATTTTTAAAGACCGTTTGTGATAAAAATCCAAAAAGCAAAATGTTCAAAAGAGAAATTGCTACTATGGTTCTTTGCAATAGGTTGATGTGCCCTTGATGTGTGGAAGAAAAGGCCCTTTACAACGAGGGAGAAAGAAATCGAGGATATGTTTGAGGGATTTTCAAGCCACAAAGACATTGAAAATGGTTTTAGTGGGATCCATCTCTTACCTTGGCAAGTTTGGGCGGTTGGGAATGGCTTTTGGGGTAGATTTTGTTTCTAGTTCATTTCGGCTTAAGCCCAAGGGGAGTGCAAGCACCACACAAACATTTGTATTTGGACCTTATCACCATTTACACAAAAATTAAAACTTTTAAAGTTTTTTTGCTAGAAATTAAAGATGTAAAATAAAAAAAACAATTCCAAAAGCATTAAACTCTTGGTTTTTGTGTGAACAAATGACGCATGACAGTTGTTAAATTAAGAATGTCCAAATGCGAAGATTAGTGCAAAGGTTACTAGCATTCTCTAACAAAAATGGTTTGGTGAAAGTGCTCTAATACATAATTCACTTTTTCTATTATTGGAAAATATGCGTACAAAGGACAGGCAAACCATCCAAAACTCAACTCGAATATCAAGAACTAAAGCCGTATCTTAAATGAATACACCACCAAATCAAGAGGCATAAAACAAAATTATAGAGACTCTTAAAAATGAGATTTTCTGGACTCTCTACCATCTCATATTTTTTTGCATAATGTTTTATAATGTTGGCACGAGAATTGACGTTAAACTGTGAAGTAACAGAAAGTTTATGAAAAGTTCCACTTTGAGAGAGTTCCCTTAACATTTGTCATAGTATAAATTATTCCAAACAAGCATGGAAACAGCAAACTAGACATTATACACCAATCACTTCAAAAAAAAAAAAAAAAAAGACATCATACACCAATAATTTGGGGCTTGGTGAAAAATCTTTCCCACAAAAAACCAAACGGGACCTTTAATTTAAGGGAAAACTAATGAAAATGGCTTGAAAACTTTGAGTTTTAACGATAAAGACAAAATAAAGGGTAAAGTAAATAGTATCAGGATTGACTTTTTATTGTAAAAATGTGATTTTTCGTTAAAATGAACAGTAGTGTGAGTTTTTCGTTAAAATTCTCTTAATTCAATTACTCTTCGATCTATTTGGCACATAATATGTGAGATTGTCGATAAACTACTCTAAACGGGCTAAAAGGCCCAAGCCCAAGGGAAAGTCATCTCTAAAAAGCTTTACCATATTTGACAAATACAACCCGAGTATGAATTGAATAATAATGGGCCTCAAAAGCCTCATTATCTAATGGACGATGTGGGCTTCAAATTGGGCCGAACAAGTTTTTCTTTTGTTTTGACTCGGTCTTACTTGTTGCCATCTAAAAAATCTCTCTCTCTCTCTCTCTCTCCCCCTCCTCGTCTCCGGCCAGTTCCTCCGAACTCATTCTTTCGTTCTCTGAAAACGGTAAGTCATTCCTCTGTTTGGTTGGTGAGAAAATTTTGGAATAAGATAGAAAATTTGTGGGATTTGATATGTTTGGTTAGTGTTCTTTTGAAGAACAAATGTTGAAATACAAATTTGAAACTTGCACTGAACTGAATCTGCCAATCCCTTCACACTGATTTTTTTAGGGTCCTTTCTTTAGCTTAGAATAAATCTTGTGCACAATCCCAATTTTTTTACATACCCATTTGTTGGTTTCTCAATAAAGTTCTGTAGGAATCCAATCAAATATAAACATATATATATATATATGTATATGTATGTATATAGATGGGCAAGATCACAGCCAAGCTCTAAGCTTTACAGTCCACTCCATCCTACTAGATTATTTAGTGCTGGAATTTCTGTGAATTGATTTTTATTTTCCTGTGCTTATTTACTCATTTTTTTTTTTAATCTTTGGATATGGTTTTGTTGACTTGTTTTTTATCTGGGACATCTTAGTCCGGCACTAATCTTGTGCTTATTGTTTGTAGATTCTGGAGTTATGAATTGGGTTCAACGAAAGATCTATCTTTACAATGTGACATTTGGGCTCTATATGTTGGATTGGTGGGAGCGTTATATCTTCAGTATCCTGTGTTTTACCTTATCTTCGCTTCCGTATGTCGGATATTTGTCTCGTTTTAGTTTAGAGAGCACATGAGTTTGCATACTTTCATGAGTGAACTTATTTCCTCGATTGGGTACATTTAAAGTATACAATTTGGAATGTTTGGTAACTATTTTGTTTTTAGTTTCTAGTTTTCATTTTTGTGTTAGATATAGAGGGAAATACATGGGAGAAATGAGGGATATAGAAGAGTGTAGGGAATATGGTGGGAGAGATGTAGAACAATATGAAAACGAAAAACCATTTCAAGTTGGGTGCACTTTCTAGATTTGGTTTTCATTTTTTTCTTCTTTATTTCTTCACCTCTCTCTCAACAAACTTCTTCATCCCTCTTTTCCCTCATATCTCAAGTACAAAAAGTGAAAACAAAAAAACGAAACGGTAATCAAATGGGCCCTTAGCATTTTTCTAGCTTATATGAAATTCTTCTTGCCGTTATGATTTGGAAAAGTGCCTCCTCGTTGGCAGTTTCTTAGATCACCATATGCTAAGAACCGACTCAAACTTTTAGATTGTTTGATTGTTTCTACCATACTGTCATATATAAGTACGGTAGAAATTTGTGTTTTTGGTCATCAGCGTCTGGTGCATTGTTATGAATCTTGATAATAGCTGCAAAATGCTTGTTGTGGAAGTAATACTATGAGGATTCAATATTTTTACCATATATCCCACCATTCTTTTTCAAATTTAATTTGGATTTCTCTGCCTTCCTTTCTGCTGTTATATTGCATTTGTCAGTTCCTTAATCTTGACAGATATTTTGGTCGTTGTGTTGCTGTGGTTCCTGTGTTACAATGGGTCACGATATTTAATGGAGTTCGGGAAGAGGTAACATTCTAACCTTTGTCTCTTGTCAGATATCATTAGGTGGTAGCATCTTATCATTATGTTCTATTAGACTTCGGACTCTGTACTTGGCTATGATGTCATTGGATGTGATGGTATCACGATCCAATAGATACATGTGGGATTTGAATGCCATCTAAAAGTGAATCGGTTTACGGCTCTTGGTTCAACCTCCTTTGTGACATTGAACTTCTCGAGTTTACGTATCTATTTTGGATAGAAGAACTCTACCCTCTTTCATAATGGGCAGCTTCAAAAATTCTTGAATTAGTTGTTCTAATTGTGTTTTACTTTGAATAGATTATTAGACTTCTTTGTGAATTTTCACTACAAATTTTACACATGACGAGATGCTTGAAGGTAACCATCTGAACATTTTGATTTATATCACTTTCCATTACTGTCCAGGAATTGTTTCAATGTTATGCTAAAACAGTTCTGAGGTTTACTCAAGTATTTTAGACTTCTTTCACATGCACTTTTCGGGCAATTAAGAAACATACAGACAGAACCATGGAAGGTGAAGTCGCTTATGAAATTCCTAAAAGACAGACTAATTTTGCAGGGTTGTCTTTTTAGTTAGTAGAAAATACCCAAGCATTTGTCCGAGGCATCGACTGAAGGTCCTAGATTATACTCAAAACCTTTAGGACGGCGTTTAGGCTTCCAAAAATAAGAAAACAAATTTTCATTAACAAAAAATAAGAAGTTCCCTAATGGACATCTCCATACAAGTTATTGTTCTTTCTGCTTCTCGGATGTTTACAGACTGATTTCAGTTGAACTGAAAGATTGTAAACTAGCTTTAACTTGTCATTCTGATTTAGTGTCAGGCGTCTATGGTGAGGACTGGATGTAGCGTCGACCTGGAGTGTTCGGATCGATGACTGAGCGATGATTTGAATGCAGCTGCACCACCGTGTGCTACACTCCGTATTAAGATTTGACTTGTGAAGTGTTGATTTTGTGAGAGTAATTGTGCATGTCCTACACCATTTTCTTGTGTTTTAGACTTAAATTTCTGTTAATATAGCGGATAGTTTTACAGTTGATTTGTCGTTAGATGATGTGATTCGTTTTACTTTCCACTCCTCGAAAGCTTTGTTATTTATTTGTTTTCCCCATCGCTTTGTCCTCCATATCAGTTTGGCCGAGAGCTAGCTTAATGTTTGTGTTATTGCACGTTCAAGGTTGAAACTGGCAGAAACTTTTCAACCACTTTGTGTTGTTTTTTTTCATTTTGGGACGCCTTTAAATGCAAAAAGGCGCCCTTAGCGATCAAGAAAGTTGGCCAAGCGTTTCCAAAAATTGTGTGGTGCTTCGGAGAATAAGATACTCTAAGCTTTTTAACTGTTAGATCTTGATTTTTTAATCTTTTTAAATAAAGATCTAGCAATTAAAGTTTCATATTCCGGGACATTGTTGGAATTTCAATTTGTGTTTTTGTCATGAGTTTTCCAAACCGTCTTATTTTTTCGTTTTTCAACATAAATCCCTACAACTAGACATAAGTAGGTTATTGAAATGCTCTTGAATGAATAATCGTGTGTGATTTTTTGTCAACTTTTGTAACCAAAATCACTTTTTGTCCCTATGAAACACACAGTGAAAAGTGAAACGTTGGTGGCCAAACTTGAGACTAGGCAAAATGTTGAAGGACCAAAGTAAGAAGAACCCAAAGTTTGGTGGGGAAATATGAAATCACGTACTTGCCAACCTTGGCCTAGAGTAAACTAGGAATCCGGAACTTCGCTGGATCCTCATTGTGAGGATTTCGGAGATCTATGAATCGTGTCTGTTCATCGTACATTATGCGATCAGAAATAATTTTAAATAATTTTATTTAAAATTAAACACAAACAATATCTGATAAAAACTAACTGCACGATGTACGATAAACGGACACGATTCACATATATACATAATCCCTCACTAAAAAGATTCGGAGAGGATCTTGTTGGGTAAACAGTAAACTAGGGCAAGGTAAAGGGGATGAAAAGAATCTGAACCGTTGATCTATAAACTCCCCCCGAGCTCTTCTCCCTTGGTACCCTATATATTCAGGCATCAGAGCGCCGCTTCCTCCAATCCCAAATTTCAAACCTTCCTTCCTTCTCTCTTAACTTTTTCTGTATTTTTTCGATAATTTTCATTGAAATTGTGTTGCTTTCGCCTTTTTTTACAAATCTCTCCCTCAAAACTGCGAATTTGGGGAGATTCAGAACGCTGGAGCACCTATGCTTCCAATAACCCGTTCATAAATTTTCAATCTTTTTTTTTTTCAATGAAAAAAAGGCTTTGAATTTCGTATTCAACATGCACTTAACATTCGAACTGGGTGCGTGTTATGCTTTGAGAAGAGCCGAGAAAGATGTTCTCCTAGCTATCTAATGCCACGATTTCTGTGTGGTATTTGGACGTCGGAGAACTAAATCCAACCTTCCGCTCCCTTTCTTTTGTTTTTATACAACTTTATTTTTCTTTACATTTTACCTCTGTCGAACATTTTATTCTAAATCAAACCAAAAAAGATAAAATACCCAGATTTTCATTAAAATTACTGCAGTTTTAATGCAAACAGTGTTCTTTTAGAACCGTGGTGTAGGTTAATCGTGATCATTTGCTGGTTGATAGGAGGAGAGAAGCATAATTATTTTTTTGTCATGGAAAAACGGGGGACATAAAACCTAACCACTCTAAAGTCGATTCTAAAGGTCTAAACTTGCAAAATAGAATAACATCACAAGATTAAAGAAGACAAAACAAGAAAGTAAGATAAACACGCATACAAACAGCCATTGGAGAGGAATAAACGTAACTTTTTAAATGAAATTAAGAATGAACATTGGTTAAAAGTACATATTTGAACAAGAGTGTTGGGTCTGCATATTTAAATTACTAAACTAAGAGTCGTTAGATCAAAAGTTAACGAGATCTAATGGCTTTTATTTGGATGTGTAACTTAAACATGCGCCGGAGAAAAATCATAGTTGCCTCGACACCGTTTTCCAAGGAGCTTATTCTGCAGGTTTCTCAAAACTGTGTTAGGAGTTCATTCCTAGCTAATGTGTGCTGGTGGACTCTGTGTTTGTGGAAATCTGGGGGTTTTGTTTAATGGAGGTTTAATGGAAGAAGGGTAAATTTGGTATAATGGAAGAAAATTTTGATTGTGGTGTGTTTTTACCATATGTGAGGTGTTAATAAAGCAACCGTTAAAGAAATGATTTTTTTATTTTTTTATTTTTTTATTTTGACTACAATAGTTGTATATTTATTTAATACCATTACTATCTCACATGAATTGTATCTAACTATCAGGTGACAATTATATAAAATAGGGAGCATTTTTGCTCACCACCATTGAGTGCATTTTTGCTCACCACCATTTAGTGTGGTGTATACTCACCATCCTATTTATCACCGTTAGATGAGTTTGAATATTGAGATTTGTGCTTATCTACTACAGGAATCTCGAAATTTAAATTAATTTAACTGTGATAACTAGGGTGGTGAGCATACACCACACTAAATGGTGGTGAGCAAAAATGCTCCCAAAAAATAGACTATAAAAGAAAATTTGTTTAAGTTTGTTTGGTCTTGGGCCTGCATATTAACCAAAAGTAGACACGGTGCAAGGCCTTTTTTATCTCTCGGACTCATCAATGCGAGCGCAACTTACATCGTTTAGAAGTGTATTAAAATGATCAAAAACACTTATGATTAAAATATTTTTGAAACTTATGCTTATATCTCCAAAAACGTATTCAGTAATTTTATAGGGCACTATGAAACAAGCCCATAGTGAACTCAATATTAAGTTACGGCCTACTACAACTTAATGTGAGTAAGATGACATCCCGATGTTAAAATCCATTTGTGAAATCATATTATCACCGGGTCAAAGTCCAACATAATAAAATCGTCCACACCTAATCACAAAGAACACATCACAATCTAGTTGTATTCAAACTAAACAATTATGCCTAACCCTTAGTGCGGCTTAGGCCACTCTCCCACTTTTTAGGCATTCCATAGTAATTTGAGTAAGTGTGATACTTATATATAGGAATCAGGCAATCTGAGTTTGATATTGATAACACTACTGCTACACTAATCTGAGTTCAATATATTAGTATTACACTCATGGGTTTAATACATTGAACTCATGAGTTCAATGTATTGGTATCATATACTCAAATTTTTTGACCAAATATAAGAGTGTGATTCCTATATAAATTCAATATATTAATATTTCATAAACTTTTTTCGTCCTACCGTGCAAAATTTCAGTGTAGATAATAATTATAAAAAAAAATATCAAGAACATGCCGGGAATGTGATGTAACATGAAAATTTTCAAAGATCTATAATTCTATAATGAAGAATGTGAACGGTTTGCTTAGTTTGAAAGAGAAAATTGTCAACGAGTTGTAATTGAGTTGTTTTAGTCCAGCGACAAAGAGTGTATTTAGAACAATACGTGTATTTAGTCCAGCTACAAATCAAGATTTTCAAAGTGCGCGGTGGCCCCGTGGCAAATAAAACCACACCAGAAACAAGTGTAAAACCGGAATTTTAAGGTTCGACATGTTGACCGTTAGTAATCGAGCCCAGTTTCCCAACGGTCGTGTGTCAGTCACATCCCAGTCAGCTCCTCCCCACTTCGACGACAACATTGTACGCACGACAAATTTTCAAGTCCCAAGATTTCCAAAAAAAATCAAAGAGAAGGAAAAATTTAAATTTATTCTTACCTTAGTGCAGCAAGGAGAAGAACAACAACTAGAGACGATTTTTTGCAAAGGCAAGAGAAGAAGAAAGTTAGGAGAGGGGGAACAAATTTCATTTGGCTTCTCTCTTATTTGTTGGAATTATGATTGTTCTCCAAATTTATTTAATATGTGCTTAAGGCATAATTATGAGCCGAGAAAGATGTTCTCCTAGCTATCTAATGCCACGATTTCTGTGTGGTATTTGGACGTCGGAGAACTAAATCCAACCTTCCGCTCCCTTTCTTTTGTTTTTATACAACTTTATTTTTCTTTACCTTTTACCTTTGTCGAACATTTTATTCTAAATCAAACCAAAAAAGATAAAATACCCAGATTTTCATTAAAATTACTGCAGTTTTAATGCAAACAGTGTTCTTTTAGAACTATGGTGTAGGTTAATCGTGATCATTTGCTGGTTGATAGGAGGAGAGAAGCATAATTATTTTTTTGTCATGGAAAAACGGGGGACATAAAACCTAACCACTCTAAAGTCGATTCTAAAGGTCTAAACTTGCAAAATAGAATAACATCACAAGATTAAAGAAGACAAATCAAGAAAGTAAGATAAATACGCATATAAACCGCCATTGGAGAGGAATAAACGTAACTTTTTAAATGAAATTGTAGACATCGAAATTTCGGTAAATAAATGTTGACCGATAAATCAAAGTGTCAACGCTTATGTATTACATAAATTTTACACGTAGCGTGTGACTCAACGAAAATTGAAATGAGTTGGAAAAGTCATCAAATAGGACACGTGTCAACACCTGGCAGAAACGACTTATTTCATCTGGGATATTATATTCAAAATTAGGCCTTGGAAAATTCTATAAATACAAACTCATTTCATTCATTTGAGGGGGAGAGGAACCAAAATCATTATCCAAAATTCTTGAAGCTCTGAAGCTCTGAAACTCCGAAGCCCTCAAGCATCCAGGTTCCCGAAGAATCAAGAAAGCTCTCTTCGCTCTTCGTTCATCGCTCTTTCAAGATCAAGCCCCGACGGCCCTTGAAGAAAGCACCATCATTCATCATCCGTTCATCCAAGACCAAGCCCCAACGGCCCTTTGGATCAACAACGTCGACAAATCCACACATCCAACCGTTCTTCAAGATTAAGCCCAAAAGCCCTTGAAGATCCGTTCATCACTGTTCTTTAAGATCAATCCCAAAAGCCCTTGAAGACCCGTTCATCATCGTTATTCAAGATCAAGCCTTAACGGCCCTTGAAGAAACACTCATCCTTAACATCAAGCTCCAACGGCTCCTTGAAGATCCGCTCAAATCCACCTTCAAAGATCAAGCCCACAGCCCCTTGAAGAAACTTCCAACAGTTCATCCAAGATCAAGCCTCAACGGCCCTTGGATCAATCGGACATCCACAAATCAACACCTTACGGAGATTGAATCAGAGGATCAAAATAGAGAGAGATTGTAACCCAAAATCATCAAATACAAATATTTGTTTGTACAAGTTGTTCTTGTCTCTTTCGTTTCAGGAATTTTCCGTGTTCACAGAAATTAAGAACGAACATTGGTTAAAAGTACATATTTGAACAAGAGTGTTGGGTCTGCATATTTAAATTACTAAACTAAGAGTCGTTAGATCAAAAGTTAACGAGATCTAATGGCTTTTATTTGGATGTGTAACTTAAACATGCGCCGGAGAAAAATCATAGTTGCCTCGACACCGTTTTCCAAGGAGCTTATTCTGCAGGTTTCTCAAAACTGTGTTAGGAGTTCATTCCTAGCTAATGTGTGCTGGTGGACTCTGTGTTTGTGGAAATCTGGGGGTTTTGTTTAATGGAGGTTTAATCGAAGAAGGGTAAATTTGGTATAATGGAAGAAAATTTTGATTGTGGTGTGTTTTTACCATATGTGAAGTGTTAATAAAGCAACCGTTAAAGAAATGATTTTTTTATTTTTTTATTTTGACTACAATAGTTGTATATTTATTTAATACCATTACTATCTCACATGAATTGTATCTAACTATCAGATGACAATTATATAAAATAGGGAGCATTTTTGCTCACCACCATTGAGTGCATTTTTGCTCACCACCATTTAGTGTGGTGTATGCTCACCATCCTATTTATCACCGTTAGATGGGTTTGAATATTGAGATTTGTGCTTATCTACTACACGAATCTCGAAATTTAAATTCATTTAACGGTGATAACTAGGGTGGTGAGCATACACCACACTAAATGGTGGTGAGCAAAAATGCTCCCAAAATAAAAAAGACTATAAAAGAAAATTTGTTTAAGTTTGTTTGGTCTTGGGCCTGCATATTAACCAAAAGCAGACACGGTGCAAGGCCTTTTTTATCTCTCGGACTCATCAATGCGAGCGCAACTTACATCGTTTAGAAGTGTATTAAAATGATAAAAAACACTTATGATTAAAATATTTTTGAAACTTATGCTTATATCTCCAAAAGCGTTTTCAGTAATTTTATAGGGCACTTTGAAACAAGCCCATAGTGAACTCAATATTAAGTTACGGCCTACTACAACTTAATGCGAGTAAGATGACATCCCAATGTTAAAATGCATTTGTGAAATCATATTATCACCGGGTCAAAGTCCAGCATAATAAAATCGTCCACACCTAATCACAAAGAACACATCACAATCTAGTTGTATTCAAACTAAACAATTATGCTTAACCCTTAGTGGGGCTTAGGCCACTCTCCCACTTTTTAGGCATTCCACAGTAATTTGAGTAAGTGTGATACCGATATATAAGAATCATGCAATCTGAGTTTGATATTGATAACACTACTGTTACACTAATATGAGTTCAATATATTAGTATTACACTCATGAGTTTAAACTAAACTCATGAGTTCAATGTATTGGTATCATATACTCAAATTTTTTGACCAAATATAAGAGTGATTCTTATATAAATTCAATATATTGATATTTCATAAACTTTTTCCGTTCTACCGTGCAAAATTTCAGTGTAGATAATAATTAAAAAAAAATATCAAGAACGTTCCGGGTATGTGATGTAACATGAAAATTTTCAAAGATCTATAATTCAATAATGAAGAATGTGAACGGTTTGCTTAGTTTGAAAGAGAAAATTGTCAACGAGTTGTAATTGAGTGTTTTAGTCCAGCGACAAAGAGTGTATTTAGACCAATACGTGTAGCAATTTGATTGGGTTATGCTGCAAATCAAGATTTTCAAAGTGCGCGGTGGCCCCGTGGCGAATAAAACCACACCAGAAACAAGTGTAAAACCGGAATTTTAAGGTTCGACATGTTGACCGTTAGTAATCGCGCCCAGTATCCCAACGGTCGTGTCTCAGTCACATCCCAGTCAGCTCCTCCCCACTTCGACGACAACTTGTACGCACGACAAATTTTCAAGTCTCTAGATTCCCAAAAAATTCAAAGAGAAGGAAAATTTTAAATTTTTTCTTACCTTAGTGCAGCAAGGAAAAGAACAACAACTAGAGACGACTTTTTGCAAAGGCAAGAGAAGAATAAAGTTAGGGGAGGGGGAACAAATTTCCTCTGGCTTCTCTCTTATTTGTTGGAATTATGATTGTTTTCCAAATTTATTTAAGGCTGAATTAAATAGGTATTGGGGCAATTGGTTTCCTTTTCCTGAAAAAAAGTCTATCTCTAAATCAAGAAATGAGATCTAGTTCAAATTGGGAAACAACTCTACAAGCCTATGCAGCTTAGGATTTCTACACCTACTGCCATTTTCCTACAAGCGTCCTAGCAAGTGTGGGGCATTTGTGGAGCCTAAAATAATCCCAAATACTCTGTAGGCGACACGTAGACTTTTGCCCAAGAAAAACAAGAGTGCCCTCATTCAATGGACATGCTTCCCAGATACTTCCACGCGCAGCTCACACGTTCACACCCCTGAAGGTCCTTGTAGATTAATATGACTACCCATAGCTCACCTGCCATTGGCAAAGAAAAGTCAAAGCATTAAAGATAAAGATTAATTACCCAAATCATATCTTGAATACATTTCTAATTAAATAGTGACTTCATTCAAATAAATAATCCATATTTAAATCAATTAGAGATAATTACTCTATTATCTTACCAGATTATTTCCTATTTAATATATTGAGAATATTTATCCATAAAACCTTGGCCAATATGATGCCGCAATAAGTATGGTAAAACCCTAATTCCATGGCCAGCCACTTCCCTATATATACCTCATATTCCACCAAATTTTGTTAACCTTTTGCTACCCCAAAAAGCTCTAAACACTTTACTCTTCTCAGAGAAACTAATTTAGGCATCGGAGATCCATTAGCCTAACTCCCACCTCGTGGGCGCGTGAGGCTTAGGTCCTTGATAAAAGGTGTTGATTGTTTTGCAGGTCCATTTTTGTCAAAGCTAGAGACGGCGAAAATTTACATCGACAACTGCTACATTAGGTTGAGTTCAATATATTAGTATTATACTTGTTGATGCACAAAACCGGATGGTCTTGGAACAACGTAAATCCGACCGTGAATCTGCATGAAATGTAAATGACACAAGAGTTATCGTGGTTCACCCCAAGGTTTGGGCTACGTCCACACTGATTGTATTATATTTCTCTGTTGAAGAGGGAGAGAGAGAGCTTAGAGAGAGCTTAGAGCTTAGGGGGTGTGAGGAAGCTTTGAGAGGGGGTGAGAGGCTTCTGAAATGGCCTCTGAGAGTGAGAGTGAGGCCTCCTCCAATTGTGAGGGTGAGGGGTCCTTTTATAGAATAAGGACTCCTCACTTATTACATATTTGCCCCTTCCTTTATCCCATAATTACATTTAAGTCCCCTGAGTATTTGTACGAGATCTAAATACGAGGCCCTAAATATGGTATAAACAGTAGTCCCCTAAGTCTTCAGTCAAGAGAGTCTTTTGGCTGGAGACTTGAAATTCAGTCCATGTGTGGGCCGAAGTAACTAGATGTCGTCTAGAACTAATGCTTGATATGAGGCGGTGCCCAATCTGAAATGATGCTCAACTAGAAGTAGCACATGTTGCGAGGCCGCTTTGCTTGTAGCTTGTGTTGCCTTGGTTGGCTCGGCTTGTGGCGTTTGAAGGTGAGGGAGTCCCTTTTATAAAATAAGGGTTCACTCCTCAGTACATAAGTGATGGGCTAGAGTCTCCCAAGTATTTTTTATGAGGCCCAGTTGAGGCCCAATATATGGTACATAATGTAGTCCCCCAAGTCTTCGGTCAATAGAGTCTGTT